TCTTTTTTTTTTTGACTTGTACTGCTTTTTGTACAATAAATCACACAATCTCTGTTTTTGTGCACTGAGAATTCATACTGCGCCATCCTTCTTGGCTTCCATTATCTTCAATATAACAATCGGCATTTGCATGCGTCATTTTCCCGCACAGTTCTTCTAGGTATCCTTATTGCTGGTTCGATGGCGGAATCGAGCCCTGACGAAGTGGGCGGCGGTGTTTTTTTGAGTGATGGAATCATGGGTTTGATTCAACCAGCAGTTGAACGTATTGATAATCAAGTTCACGCCACACGACTCAGCCAGCAAAAACTCAAAAAACACATTGAGACGTTAGCACAGTGTAAGTTACTTTGTAATATTTCAGTGTGGAAAGTTGCTTTACTCTCTCTCTCTCTCTCTCTCTGATTTCTCTTTCTTTCGCATATCTGTCTTGCAAATTAGCTGCATGACTGTTCAGCACATGGCGGCTAGGAGGCTGTACTGATGATTCTCGCTCCTCTCGCAAGCATTGTTCGGTCTGTGTTTACAGCTAAGGGATGAAACACAGAGACTGCATCGTAAAATGTCGTCCGGCACATGATACTTAAGACCAATCCTATTCTACTCTTTAATGTGTAACTATGCTTGTACGTATGTACGCATTTATGTATTGAACATATGAGGTCATAGATATGGAAGAAAATTTACTCTTTCAATTTTTGGTGATAAGTTTAGCATGCGAACGGGTGAACACTCGGGATCCGAATAGTTAGCCTCGAAAAAATGTTTTGGAACGAACCATCTGATCTGCTCGATAAAGTGCTAAATCATACGCCCATAAGAATAGATATGATGATGCCTGTTGTTCTGGAACTTTTCTCAACGTAATAACTACATACTCGTGGTTCGGATCTGCTTTTCTGGACTTAAGTGCGCCTTTACAATGTAATTGATGTTTGTTTTTGACTTAAATATTTCGTGCTAAATGGCAGTGCGCCAAAAATTGGTAAATGAAAGCTTCCAAAAATTACTGGGTCATGAAACACGAGGAGGCAGCCACGTGCTTTCAAGGTTTTCATAAAGGCACTCCACCGGGAACCTACTGGCAGATTGGCTCCAGTTCTATGTGAAAATGAGTCCTGCCTTTTTATGCGTTTTGTGCTGTGTAACAGCAGTACAAAACGCAA